ACATCCTAAATCAATTACTTTCCACAGTCATTTTATATTGGAGAAAAGTCAGCAGTCACACAGTGTCATATCTGGCAAATCAGATGGGTGAGGGCAAACCTTAATGCTTTTATAAGCCTGTTTTATTGGTCATAACTTGGCAACAGCATAACTGTACTTTTTAATCACACTTTGTAAAGATACAAAAGAAGGCATTCCGAATGCCTCCAAGAAGGGGCAAGAATGGTGGGAGAAATGTGTTTTGGAAAGAGGGAGAGTATTTTGGTAGGGATTAATGGCAATGTATCTTTTACTGTAATATTTTTTTAATTCACCATTTTAAACATTCACTGTATACTTTGATCAGTCCTTGTAGAAAAGAAGTATGATTGACTATGAAAAATAAAAGTAGTCTTAGAAGAAATGACTGAACAGATTGAATTTGTCCTTAGTACATTTGATAGCATATATGTTGCTTTAACTAGGTTGTATCCCCTCTTTGTGCTTGATCCCTTCTTGGACTCTCTCCTCTTCCTCTGTGTCTTCATTCTCCTCAGGGCCCTGTACTGAGAGCTGTGCTGCCCTGGAGCATTGCTCTGCCACGGGCGGTTCTCCCACCGGAAACATGAGCATCCCTGGAGATAACGGAATTCCAGATGCTCAGACGCCACCCAGACCTCAACAATAACAACTTTTTCTCAACGAGACTTTTTTTTTTTTTCAATGAGACTTTTAAGTGATTTCTATGCATGTAAAAATTTGATAAAAGCTGTTTTTTTTACTATTAGGGGCAGATAAGTGACAGCAAACTAATTCTTATAAACACTCCACTGTTTCAATTGTTAATTGGTAGCATATAGTTGCATGTGGATTAACAGAGTCATGGTACAAGCAATCTATTGAACTCTACAAAATCAAATGTAGTTTTAAAGGTAACACAAACATTTTATTTTAATTTTATTTGAAATTATCTATTTTAACTTTTTTTTAGCACTAGTGTTTGAACCCAGGGCTTTACAGAAGCACTCTCTCAACTATCTACACTGCCAGTTCTCTTTTCCTTTTGAACATTGTAAAGAGAAAAAAAACATCTTTGAAGATCTTTGAAAATTACCAGTGTATTCAGTTATGCTGTCAGACTACATTTTCTAATATTTGAAATTTGTTTTTCTGCTGTCCCTAGTTAAGTGATTAGTATCCATAAACTAAAAATGAGTGCTGCAAACAATTAAATTTGGTACCATTTCCAATTTCTTATATCTGCTAATCCCTACTTTCTCCATGCTTTGCAATTAAAGTCAAGTACAACCGTAAAAAATGCTATGGGTGAAATAAAACTGCAACTGTTATCCATAACCCTGAACTGAATTGATCCACCCAAACAGCCACTTTGTCTGCACTGACTCATTGTATTCTAAGTAATTGTTGCATATTTAAACTTTCAATATATAGCTTTTGTTCATCTCATGTTTTGGGGGTACAAATAAGTTTCATTCTTAAAAATGCATTTTGATTCTAAAGCATTTTGAAAAATCAAAACTGGAAGGATGATCAGGACTGAAAGAATCTCAGACTCCAGGGCCATCTGGAACCAGAGTAATTGGATACAAGGATGCTTCTAGAGTGGAGGCCTTTGATTACAACATATTGACCTCTTGCAGCTTCTACCTTGGGTGTCCCTGATCCCGGTCAAGTACTTCTCAAGTAGAACCAGTCAAGTCATTGTGACTCAGACTTTCAAGCTATGACATTCCCTGAAACAAATTAGCCATTTCCTATAGCCTACTAATATAATTAGCATATGAGAGTATGAATCTAGATTTAAAACTTTAATTATAGGTAAAAAATAATCTGTATTTCACACAGTGAAAGAGGAATTGCCTCTGAAATTACTTTTAATTCTATGGTAGCATAACTTTCTAGCATTTCATGTATCCATTTCTTCATGTAATCTTTTAGTAGGCATTTGCTGAGTATGTGCTAGACATTTTTTAATGCAAATAACCAAAAAATAAACACAACTCACTGCAGGAGTCTCTTTTTAGACTAGACAGATGCCCCAACAAATAATTACTAAGCAATGTGGTAAGAATATATGGGATACGTGCAAATGATTCTGCGGAAGACAGGAGAAGAAATAAATGATTAGAAAAGGGACACTGGGTTAATTTATGGGATTGATTCGTTTTCTGGCTTTTGTTTGTTTGTTTTTTGGTACCAGGGATTGAACTTAGGACCTTGTGCTTTTGAGGTAGGCACAGTGCCACTGAGCTAAGTCCCTGGCCCCACTAGGTTAATTTATATTTTGTTTTGCTTAGTAAATGATCATAACAGCTAAAGTATGTGATAATATGATATTAGGGTTTTAAATTACATTTGAATCAACTTGATTTTGAATACAAAATTTCACATCATTCAGAATTAGAGTGCCAGTAATCTGAATAAGGAGAATGTCAATTTTAAAATATAAATGGTAAGAAACAAATAGTAAAAATAAAATATTGAAATCCCATCCACGTAAAAATGATTAATTTTCAGGGATTTAGAAATCTTTAAAACTAAATTTTATAAGTATTTAGTTATTCTCACTTAACAGCTATTTGGTCCCCTATGTGTAAGGACACAGTAATCTATTTATCATCAAAATGTGGAATTTTCTATTTGGTGCATTATTTAGATCAATTTAGATTCCAGCTTGGTTCCTCTTTACTCCTGCACTACTTCCTCCTGAATTAACTGATATAATGAGCTCATGTAAATGACTTTGCTATTAGGCCGAGCTAATATTAACCCACAACTGTTTAGAGAGTAAACATATTGAACAAAGACATATATTTACTGAATACGAAAATTAAGCATCAAGGATGTTTTAGTTCACTGTGATTTGAGAGTATCTGTTCCTTGCTTCCTTTTATGATATAGAGAACACGAACTATTGGATGTCAACACCTGCTGTTGTGGCCCAGGCTAGGCATCTGTGTGATGTGGTGTTGGGAACATCCCTGATGACACATGATCACACACCACTTGTGCTTATACTTCCTGCCCAAAGCTTTTCTCTTGAGCTCCACTAGGACCACTTTTTAACATTTTATGCAGTGCAGTTTAAGATCCAGGCACACACTTTAATGCTCCAGAATAAATTTCAAATTAGTATTGCTAGGTCACAAGCTATGGAACTGTCCTAAAAACTGTGGTACAGATATGTATAGTTCATATTTATTGGCCCTCTAGTTCCTGCCTAATAATTATCTACTTCATGAGCATTACCTCCAAACCTCATGCAGTGATCATTCACACTGGAGTTCTGTTCAGTCATGAGAAAGATGAAATCCTGTCACTTGAGACAACAGGGACAGAACTAGAGAGCACTATGTTACATGAAATAAAAGTCATAGAGTCATGTACTGCAAGATCTTGCTCATATACAGAAACTACAAAAATAGGTCTCATAGAACTTGAGAAGAGAAGTAGTGGTTATCAGAAATTGGAGGGTGGGAGAATCAGTATGGGAAAAATTTGATCAATGGATACTAAGCTACAGTTGTATGAAAGTAAGAGGCTCCAGTGTGCCGTGGCCCAGGAGGATGGGTGACTATAGGTGATATCCATGTAGTGTATATTTCTAAAACCTGAAGAAAAGATTTTGAATATTTTTACCTTAAGAAAATGATATGTGTGTGTGTGAGGAGCTAGATGTGTTTAGTCATTACACAATATGAACATATATTAAAACATCACATGGAACAAATTGATATATAGAATTTTTATGTTTTGATGCAATAGTGTAAAAATAAATTTAATTTTAAAATAAAATATGTTTAGGGCCAGGGATTTAGCTCAGTGGTTCAGTGGCCTGACTTGCAAGTACAAGGACCCAAGTTCAATCCCTGGTACCAATAAATAAATAAATAAATAAATAAATAAATAAATAAATAAATAAAATATTTTTAAAAGTACCCCATTTTTCAAATGACACAAGTTTCTGAAAGGTTAAATTAAGTAGTTTAAAGGCTATCTAGTAAACAGAAAGACAAACATTTGAACACAAATTTATTTTATTTCCCTTCAATTTCCTCATCTTTAAGTAGGTGGCTTCAATTATCTGGCTTTACATTTATGTGTGTGTGTGTGTGTAATATATATATAT